GCCCGTGGACTGGGTAGCCCAATGGGTACTAGCTTGGCTCATAATTATATATAGCAAAGCGTTGATCAGGACAATGCTTTCAGAGTTCAGCCGCCGTCTATCGTCTTTGGCTATAACTGAAGAAGGATAATTCGTCTTTCGATTGTTGTTTTTCTCTGACGCTCCAGCGAGCTATCAGGAGGGTTGTAAGATCGATCGCATACATAGACACCTGTCGTAGTACTATTCTTCTCTTTCGTCGACCTTTAAGTGGTAAAAGCATAGCCTCTTAGCTAGCCTACGACTTGATCGCCTCAAATAAACGCCTCTCGAGACTCGAAATAGGAATGGGGGGGAGACAGTCGTCTAGGAAGACGGCAGTACAATATAGTACCTACATACGTGTCTATGCTAGCACGGTATTGTAGTTATAGGGAGGTAGCCGCGTTAGATGCATTTTTGCTGCTTAGATAATCGCCTTGCTTATATAACTGTCACGGAGGAAAGTAAGATCGAATTCATTCATTTACCTATAGCGCTAATGATAAAGTTATTGAGCAGTTGGGTAGTAGCTACTCCCTCTCCTCCTTAGTGCCGGTAATTATACCTCTGTATGCGACTTTGTATAGACGTTAGGCGTTCCCTTAATCCTGGTTGTTATTACCGTTGTTGCTATACCAGTCAATGCTAGAAGCGTTATCCGGCAGCTCCAATCGAAGCTGGCTGGCAAGACCGGAACCTGCACTATATGGATATACCATACCAGGGATAACTATAGTACTACGGCTATAGTGAGCCTGTTGCATATACTGTGGCTGAGCAAAGTGCGGGCTTAGGAAGCTGCTTGAAAAGCCTATAACGGAGCCTGCGTATACTAAAACTGGTTGGTGTTGCCGTTGTTGGTATTGACGTTGTTGGTATTACCGTTGTTGGTATTGCCGTTGCTATGTAGTAACTAGACTAGCCCCCGCGCTGCTAAACGCCCTAGGCCCGGCTATAGCCGCTGCTACAACCGCGATTACCGCTGCTATTGTCGTTGCTGTAGGCACCGATATTCCTCAGGCTAGGGCATTTAGCCGCAGGATAGCCGGCGCGACCGTACTTGTAGTAGAGTCCTAGATTCTAGCGGCGCTCGCGCTCTTAAGCGTTCATTCGTCGTCCTTAGCCTTACCGCCGTACCACTACCACTATAGTTAGCGTTATTACAAGAACCGGTATTCGTTGTCTTACGCTAGCGCTTGGCTTTAGCGTTAACGGCTAGCGATAAGCTATCTTAACCTAGCTGGTAAAGTCATTCTTCTTAGGGATATTAACTTGGAATTTAGACTATGAAAGTTGTCACGGCGGGACAGGCGGACAATCCAATGACAATTGTATTCGGGCTAAACTACAGTCTAAGCTCTATTCCGTCAGGTACGGGCAGGCTTGATTGTCAAGACGTAGCTCGAGGAGCTACGAACAGATCTCGCGGCAGCGAGGTGCAGAATATTTAACCCACAGGGGCCCGTGCTTTCCACATGCCGGGTTCCACCCGTGGGTCCTAGCAGGCACGGCGCAATCGCCGTGACAAAAACACGCTATATTTTCCTCGCTAGTTTTCCCCTAGAGAAAACGGACTTAGGCGGCAGTATCCTAGCCGTAGATATTGGCTAAATTGTCGTACGAAAGACTATAAGATTGGTATATTTACCGTTCTGCTCGGAGTTATAGAACTTATTCTCAGAGTCCACCTCGAGGTCTATAGCACCGTAGTAACTAGTAAAATAAGCTATCAACTCCCGACTAATCTTGTACGGCGGGTTGTATCGTCGTTAGGACTAGCGTTAATCTTCTTGGTGATGTAGGAATTACCGTCGCCGGCCGAGCCGGTAAGTAGCGTAGCTATATAGAGGATCTGGACCTTCTTAGAGGCGATTCGTATAGACGTATACTCCAGCGCGCCTATATCTGGTTCCACTAGGTATTGAAAGCTTAGGTACGCTTAGTAGAGTTAGTCTCGTCACTAGTGAACTTCTCTAGGTCCGGCATTGTAGTAGTATCACCGCCGCCGCCGCTACCGTAGATAGCGCGCTTCTTTGATAATGTCGTCCAAGGTGTTAGCCTCAGTCTTATAGGCAACGTAAGCCTTATTTAGGCGTCTATCTTGTCCATAGATTGCGATACTGCTGATCGGGCTTCCATCCCTCTCTATGTAGAGCGTTAACCTGGTCTTGGAGGCGAGTCTGGTTGTTGTTCAGAACATCCCGCTCCTCCGTGATAATGTTGAATTGTATATCGCCCTCCCTAAGCTTACCGCTATTGACCTGGCAAGCGATAACAATGTTAATCTCGGCATTGTTGCCGGGGGTTGCTTGGTTAGTGTTGCTAAACTACGCCTTTAATGAAGGGAAACGGTCGTTGTCGACCTTATCTACTAGTTCCCGGCAAATATCGCATAAGCTATAAAAAGGCAGAGATACTTCTAACCCCGTCTATATCTAGTATACCGTCTTGCCTCTCAGTCGTATTAGTTTGCTTGGATTCCTAGAACCTGTATCGTTGGCGATCGGTACCCGAATTGGTAGTTTGCGCCGCGCTTGATTAATATAAGGTGGAAAAGATTGCTAAAATGCTCCCTAGAGCTGTGAATAGTGGCTTTGAGCGTTGTAACGCAGAAAACAGGTGTAATTTACTATCACAGGTAGTAGTAGGTAATACTAGAGGATCCGGTAGTGTTACTAATAACATATAAGGAACTAGAACTCTGTGGGCTATGCGTAGCGGTAGGAAAACCCTGCAGGGCAAGGTGGGGGCTGCGCACTAATTAAGAGAGTAGTGCACTGGCTCCCACGCAAGACTACTCCGGTGGGATTGCCTTATCTAATCTATATAGGATGCAACTTCAACCCTAGCACGGGCATTGCCCGTAACAGGCGTAGTATAAGGTGACGATAAGTAGAATCTAGAAACTAAGGGTAGAGAGGTAAGGCCTATAGTCGTAAGCTAAATCCTCTTGGATCTCTTGTTATCAAAGCTTAGCTGAGCTGTCCTATCCTCGTAGTAGCTACGAAAGAACATTACAAGCTTACTTTTAAAGCCTAGTCAGAGAGTATATATATACATATATTGGTCTTTTACCGCAAGCGCAATCGCCGCGCCCAATTTGGGCAAGCGGTCCCTCCGCGCTATTTTACATATAAGGCTCCTAGCAGTCCCTCCTATCTAGCAGTCCGGAACCAACCTTTCCGGCTTGGTGACGACGAAGCTGTGGGAGGCCATCCGGCCGTGTTGGTCACTTAGCTACTTAGCTCGCGCTACGCGCTCACGGCTCTAGCATGGCGTTAGAGCCCGGTGCGCTTCTTTCTCTTTTTCTCCTTAGGCCCCTCTGGGCTCCTAGTCCCTTTACCTTCCTCTAGGGATTCCTCTACTCCCTTACGCTCCAGCTCCATTGAGAGACCATACTCAGCTAGTCTCCCAGGGCTTATAAGCCAGGTGACTATCCGCGCTACGCTAGAGTAATTCCCAAGCGCTCTTATCAAGTCGTGCCTATCTTTGAGCTAGGGTCTCCCGTCTCTAAGCTCTTAGTCTTGGCATCTAAGTATCAGGTAGCCACTGTTTCCGGGGCTCTCCTAGAGCGGTAGAGCGGTGTAGGCACCCAAGGCACTTATATTTTAAAGAGAAAATCTTTTAGGCTAATTCCTCGTATATATGCCTATAATAGTAGCGAGCTCTTTGCCTTAGTCAGCCTTTTATAATTTTATAGCGATTGTACTGCAGGATCGAGCATACGGAGATCGGCTGCTTCTCTATAGTGGCGAAGGTGTAGTTTATCTACGCGCTCTGTTTGCTTTTCCCGACGAATCTTCCATTGCTCGAGTATAGGGAGGTCAGTGTCCAATTTCACCTATCCTATTTAAGGCGCTTGCTAGGCACCTTTGATGCTCGGCTATCGAACCGTGATCTACTGTACGTACCTATAGCCAGTCCTTGGCCTAGTCTTATTACTTTCTAAGTCTGGACAATGCCAGTGGGGGTTTCGGGGTTTCTATGTCCTGCGTTGTTGTAGCTAGGAAGCTATAGTAGCGTTTATTACGTAGGAGCACTACTATCCTAGTCCTCTATAGACCGCTGCTCAGCTTCTGCCACCATCTGTTAACGTATGGGTCAATAGTCGTATCCAGGCTTCGCTCTCTATATTGCGGTTTGGGATCGCCTTATAGACTCCTATCATAGCCATTAGGCAGCGCGCTTGTATTTCTTGAAAGCTGCGTATAACCCCTCGTAGCATCTCTCTAAGCGGAGTAGGTATATGCTAAACTGTTGCTCTGCGTTTAATGAAACGACTCTAATTACCTTCGTATTTGTCTTATAGGCTCGCGGGACATATACCCTATTATTTTCGTAGAAAGAGGCTCTGTGTCCACGATGCGGAACTGAAGCTCATGGCGAGGGCGTGAAGGCTGTAAAATCCCTATGCCCCACTCATAGTGGTCACCCTACAAGGTGCCCTACCTGCGGGGGACCTCACACAGTCTGGGCCAGGGCCGGCCCACAGGGGGCCAAGGCTAGGGAGGAAGTTAAAGAGGCCTACCCACAACGACCAAGGACTTTTGAGGTTGCAGCCAGACCAGTTGGCCCAACTTCACCTTCGTGGTTAGCCAAGCTACACAGGCGGCCCAGGAAGACGACGCATTCCAAGAGGAAGCCAGAAAAAAGAAGAGAGAGGCCTACATATAAAGAAGTGGCCGGCCGGACCCTCTTCGGGCCAGACTAGCTACAATGCCCTCTACCCTACTCTCTAGCCTTCTAGCCAGCCAATCGAGTTATCTAGACCAGGCTACCCAAGCAACCCAAGCAGCCCGAGCAACAATATCCCAATGGATGAACAATGGTAGTATCTATATTACTTTGGACGTCGAAGGCAACCGGTAAGCGCTACAGGTCCTACTCGAGGAGGCAAAAAAAATATTCTAGCAATACAAGAGCCCTGGATCAACCCGCACACCAAATCAACCTACTGCCCTGGGAGTTACAGGTACCAACTAGTCTACTCGCCACAGGGCCGAACAGCGCTCTACATAATCAAAGGCTTTCCACCTAGCCAGTGGGACTACGAGGGTACGGACGAGTGGTGCAGGGCCCGGCTTATAGGCTCTGAGCCGGGCCTAGAAGTCTGGTCAATCTATAACCATACAGATTCAAAGGACGTCCCAAAGGCCCTCCTTGGAAGGCCTAAACCGAGCCTACCTACTGTTCTTGCGGGAAATTTCAACCTGCACCACCCGCTATGGACTACTATAGCTAGGAGAAACAATAAGCTGAGGACCTGCTACAAGCTAGCCCTACAGTAGGACCTCGATCTTCGGACTCCCCAGGGCACTACGACCAGGGAACCACAGGAGGCCCAGAGAGGTAGACCCTCAACCATTGATCATTCGGGTCTCTAAAGGCCTACAAACGACCTATTACAGCATCTAGGAGCGGGGCAAGCTAGATCACTACTACAGGTCCTCGAAGTCGACCAACGGCTTTAGAAAGAAACCCTAGCACCTCAAGGCTAGTGCTGGGCCAAGATAGATAAGAGTAGGGTAGAAGCCGAGGCAGCTCCAGCTACGTACCGAACGGCCAAAGGCTATAGGCGTATAGCTCTCCTACCTACCTCAGGGAAGGTACTGGAAGCTATAATGGCTAGGAGGGTGGCAGAGGCTGCGGAGTAGAACGGCCTACTACCTGACGAACAGATGGGTAATAGGGCTAGCCGATCTACTGAACTAGCTATACGGCTAGTAGTTACCTAGATCCAGAAGGCTTAGAGACAGGGAGCCACCACCTCCCTACTACAGTTAGATATATCTAGAGCCTCCGATATTGTCAACTATATATGGCTACTAGATACCCTCCAAGTCTATAGCTTCCCTCGATGGCTAGTGCGGTAGACTAAGGCCTGGCTTGAAGATAGACGGCTACGCTCCACTTCGACGGCCAAGCTACAAAGCCTGTACCAGTCAAGGCTGGGGTCCCACAGGGCTCCCTACTATTCCCAATCCTCTTTAAACTTAATATTGCTTCTTTATATAGGGCGTTGAAGGAGAAGCATCCAGGAATGTCTATAGTGAGCTTTGCAGACATACTAACCTCCTAGCCTTTGGCCGAAGGTCTCAGACCAATTGCCCGCAACTAGAAGAGACCTGGAAGACCTGTCTACAGTGGGCCGAGTGTAGAGGGATGGTCTTTGCCAGAGAAAAGAGCGAGCTGATTCACTTCAACAAAGGCCGAAGGCAATGGCCAAACCCAGTCAACCTGGCCCACCCACAGGACCAAGGCTTCGGCGCCATATAGCCTACACCTTCTAGCCGGTTCCTTGGGATCTGGCTAGATTGGAAGGCCCACCGGGAAGCTGTTGAACGAAAGCTGAAAGCACAGAACTTTGCGCTATTTAGAAGACCTGCTAAGACCTAGGGCCCAGCCCTAGCCAAGGCCAGGGAGGTCTATACCCAAGTGCATTCGCAGAGCCCTAGCCTACGAAGCTTCAAGCCTCCACCGGCCTCCCCCATTGGGGGTCAGCCATAGGGTATTGCTAAAGGCCTCTAGAAGGCCTAGAACAGGAGCCTAAGGACAGTAGCCGGGGCTAATAAGGCTACCGCAACCCGACACCTTGAGGCCGAAACGTAGGTTCCTCCACTAGACATTTATCTCAACAAGAGGCTAGCCGACTTCCGAAGACACGCTCTAGAAGCCTACTACTCTCCCAACTCCTCAGACTTCCCAGCCGACAACAAGGCCTGCAACTCGGCCTGCAATTGGGCCTGCAACAAGGCGTCATCCAAGATACCGGCCTCCTAGCCTGCTAGTTGAGGAGGCCTGCAACAGGATCCGCAACCGCTTCTAAGGACTATAAAGAGCCAGAGGGTCAATGCAATCTCTAGCAATAGAAGAAAGTTACAGAGGCTATCGCAGCCTAGAGAGCCCAAGGCAAGAACTCTATAGAGGCTCTCAATAAGGCCTAGAAGGCTAGGTAGGCCAAGGAGGCGACCAATCGACTACAACGGTATAGGGCCCGGAACCAGGCCCCACCCACCGTACAACCGGCCGACCATCGGCCAAAACTTGACAAAAGGGCACTAGAAAGGCACGAGGGCCTCACAAAGGCCGAGAGCTCCCTACTAACCCAGGCTCAAACCGGAGCTATAGGCCTCAAGGACTTCCTCTTCCGGGCCAGGGTCTCTCGAATACCTCCCCCCTACTGCGAATACGGCCAGGGCAGGGAAACAGTAGAACATTTAGCTGTGTGGTACCGCCAACCACCGAAGCTAAGCACCTGGCCGGTTATAGAGATACGCTCGCAGAGAGCCCTGTACGTACCACACAGCTAAGTGTTCCACTGTTTCCCTGCCCCGGCCGCATTCGCAGTAGGGGCTAGGTTTTTTCGAGAGACCTTGGCCCGGAAGAGGAAGTCTTTGAGGACTTGTTGAAAGCCAACAGCCACGAATGTGTCGCACCGTAGTAATTGGGTATCAAAAAAATGGGCAACCACTCAATTGATGATGATGTACCTGTCTGTGTTTTTCCAGAAGTTCCCTGCCTGTTCCTGATCCTGAGAATCCTGGTGCCAAGCCATTGGTCACCCCTGAACTGCCCTCTCTGACCACCTGCCAAATCCAACAGGACTATAGCCCCGGTCTCGTGTGACGAATTTCGAAGCCCCAACTTCTAAAAGTGACTCCTGAAGGTTATAGCCTTAGATGCCAATTTGAAAAAAAAAAAAGGGAATATAACTTAAGAAGATAGTATAGGCAATTGCACGGGGTATCGATAGTACAGAGGAGCTAGAGCGGGTTGAACGTGAGAAAGGGGAAGCGCTAGCGGCGTCGGAGGCCTCGACTAATCTCCCTATGTCCTCGTCTACTCCTCCTTAGCTATTGCTTGCGTTTATGCTATTGTAGAATCCATTTCCAAGTTCCATTAGAACCCTCTGTATTAGCCGATTTCTGGTTTATTAGTGGCGGTACGTTGTTTTTAGTCGGTTAGGGTTCCTCTTCTAGAATTCCTTTGCCTTTCTTAGGGTAGTGGAGGTTCGTAGCTAGTTACTATTGGTTTTCTTCAGGCCTGAAATGGAGCTATTTAATAAGATACCCGAGTTATGCCGTTGTAATATATAAATCCTAAATTTTTTCCGATGTCTTATTCTTCCTCATTATCCTCTGCTTTTATACTATGCAAGTTGCATGTTTTTAGGTGCTATTTCTGAAAGTGAAATATAGAAAACGCTTTGTTCTTAGGCTTATCGTGGCTAGTAATGATAGTCGATAGTTGGATATCGAAATTCGTTTGTGAATCTTAAATAATCTTCTCTTCTTAAGGTCTAGCTTCCTGCTTGGTCGTTTATTTGAAGATTTCATAAAGTAAGGTAAACTCTATCTACCCTCTCTAGGTGGGGTCCCTTTAAGCCTGTATTTATTATAGTATTGCTTTATTCTAGCTCTAGCAAACCTGAGTTCTTCCTTAGGTATTATATATAGCGTATATATCCAGTCTACCTTAACCTTCGCCCTCGGACCGGTCCTATAGGTCTCTAGTAGTATAGATCTGCGTTATACCTGTAATTTACGGAGAATGGTATTACCTTTGTAGGCTCAATTAGCGTTATATTATATACAAGCTATGCCTCTAGCAATAGTATATAGTCTAGTTGTCTGCTGGTAGTTGATATATAGGATCAGAGATATCAAATCACAACTTAGTTAAGTCGTTCTATCTGTCTGTCCGTCCGTTTGTAGGTAATAGGCCGTTGGAGGCTTGCTTTTCGTTCTTAGGTATATTATCAACGCCTGCTGGAAGTCTAAAATAAACTTTATATCTCAGTATATAGTTTATTCCTCCGGCTATATATAAATTGAGGTTATGGGCTAGTAAACTACAACAACGAGTTGTTCAATAGACTATGCTTCCTTGTCTTAGTTGAAGTATACCTACTTGGTAAGTCGGTCGACTCTAGTAAGTATACTATTATTCACTCCTATCGCTATATCTATCGAGAGTAGTAGCTTAGTAATAAAGTCCAAATTAACCGAGCTCTATAGTTGTTCTACGATTAGCAATAGTATTAGAGTCTAATAGTTTGTATCATACTAACTTACTTTAGCTATAGATATTATGATTACTAATAATACCCTTAACTCTTTCGTATGATCTTAGGAAGTTGTAGTCTTCCTGACCTTCTGCAATAATCTTAGGGACTCCTATATATCCTCTGAGTTTCGACTTATAGATCATCCTAATTAGTTCCTCTTACTTGTCCTTAGTCGTATAGTTAGCCGTCATTAGCCAGTATTGTAACTTAGTAGAGGTATAGTATCGAAGGTTCTTATAATCCGGATATACCTAGACTAGGTGTATTATGCCGCTAAGGTATAGTCTCTATTCTTGAAGGCTTCGATAATGGTTATTAGAATTATAAATTAGATAGTTGAGCTATGGTCCTATAAGCTTCTTGGAGAAGAACGTAACTAGGTGTAGTTTGTTATTCTTATCACTCTAAGCAAGCTATCTGCTAACCGTATAGTCCGATGTATCGGTCTTAACCTTGAATAATTTCCTTGGACCTAGTAATATAAGTACCAGATCTATGGTGATCGCGTCGTGGATCATCAAAAATACTTTCTTATATTCCTTTTTCTATTAGAATTTAACGTCATTTTTTGGTAAATCATATAACGTATATTATCAGTGAGTGGGCCATATCAGTGAGTGGGCCACTTCCTACTACCCTACAAATGCCATCCTCAATTGTAAAACAACAACACTAGGAACCAACTATAGTTACATCAGAAAGAGCTAAATCAGATGCTTCTACAGCCTCCTGGCAAGTGCGGGCATTATGGCCAGACTTACCGCACACACCACAGCACCGAGCTCTCGCACGACACCCCCCCTGTATCACTACTTCCCAACTGCGTTTCTTGCACTCCCTCTCCACCAACATCCGCCTGACCTAGTATCCCCTGTGCTCCCTGTACAGTAAGTGATCCTCCAAGCTGTACACGTGTTTTTTTGGCTCTCCGGCGCTTTGCCTAGTGCCTCGTTGGCCTTGCGGAGCGAAGCGACCTCTGGCTCGAGGAGAGCCACTCGATGCATTATAGCTGTTGTACCCTTGGCAAGCTGGTCCACGGCAGTCAACAATGAAGTTGGAGAGTTATTCTTAGGGTTGATAATGCGAGTCTTGATGAGCGCTGACTGCGCATTAGCTTCTCGGGGATTGTGGGGTGCCTGGAAGACCCAAGGTTGTGGTGTGCTTGGCCGTGAGGTAGGGGGTGTTAGTGTACGAAGCTTGACATCCAACTTGGAAAGCACC